GTATTCCATCCCCAGACGGACGGTCAGTCTGAGCGGACTATTCAAATTTTGGAGGATATGCTCCGAGCTTATGTCTTTGACTTTGGAGGTTCGTGGGATCAGTTCTTGCCTTTAGCGGAGTTTGCCTACAACAGCAGCTACCAGTCGAGCATCCAAATGGCTCCTTATGAGGCTTTATATGGTAGGCGGTGTCGGTCTTCGGTTGGATGGTTTGAGCCGGGAGAGGCTCGGTTGTTGGGTACGGATCTGGTTCAGGAGGCCTTGGACAAGGTCAGGATCATTCAGGATAGGCTTCGTTCAGCTCAGTCCAGGCAAAAGAGCTATGCAGACCGCAAGGTTCGAGATGTGGCTTTTATGGTTGGTGAGCGGGTATTGCTCCGAGTATCGCCTATGAAGGGCGTGATGAGATTTGGGAAGAAGGGCAAGCTTAGCCCTAGGTTTATTGGTTCGTTTGAGATTCTTGATCAAGTGGCTTATAGACTTGCTTTGCCGCCGAGCTTATCAGCCGTGCATCCAGTGTTTCAATGTCCATGCTTGAGAAGTATCACGGCGACCCATCCCACGCGTTAGATTTCAGCACTATTCAGTAGGACAAGGACATGTCTTATGAGGAGGAGCCGGTGGCTATTCTAGACTGGCAGGTTCGTTAGTTGAGGTCGAAGAGTTTTCCTTCTGTTCGTGTTCAGTGGTGAGGTCAGCCTCCTAAGGCATTTACCTGGGAGTCCGAGTCAAATATGCGGAGCCGTTATCCCCATCTTTTTTCCGACTCAGGTACTTCCTTCTTCTGTCCGTTCGAGGACGAACGATTGTTTTAGAGGTGGAGAATGTGACGATCCAAAGGGTCATCACCTGTTTTTAATTGAATTCTGTGACTCTGAGGCCTTGAAAACCTCATTTAGAGTTGCCTCGATTTGCGTACGCGGTCCGGGTGCATAGCCGGAAATCTTAAATGTGAAATTTTGTGAAAAATGCTAAGTTTTGATATTAAAATGAATAAATTTGACTTTGGTCAACTTTTTGGTAAACGGACCCGGACCTGTGATTTGACGGTCCCGGAGGGTCCGTAGGAAAATATGGGACTCGGGCGTATGCCCGGAATCGAATTCCGAGGTCCCGAGCCCGAGAAATAAATTTTTAAAAGAAATTATTTTTCTGAAATTGTTAAGGAAAGATTGAAATGATATTTGATTGGAACGTGTTCGTATCGGGCCCGTAATTTGGTTCCGGCGCCCGGTACAGGTCTTATATGTGAATTAAGATATTTCTGTGAAATTTGGTTTAAAACGGACGTCGTTTGGCGTGATTCGGACCTAAATTGCTAAAGTTGATGCTTTAAGAAGTTTGAGAAAAATGCTTTGATTTTGAGATTTAATTGTTGATAATGACGTTATTTCGGCAATTTGATCGCATGGATAAGTTCGTATGATGTTATTGAGCTAGTACGTACGTTTGGTTAGGAGCCCCGAGGGCTCGGGTGAGTTTTGGTAGGTGTCGGGNCGTTTGGGTTAGGTAGGCCCCGAGGGGTCTCGGGGTTGAGGTTTTGGTAGGTGTTCGGGGAGTTTTGAACTTGAAAAAAGTCTGGTTTTCTGCAGCTTTTTGGTGTCCAGTGATTTGTACTATGCGATCGCATAAGTAGGCTCGCGATCGCATTGAGTAATTTTCAGGAGTTCAGTTTTGTTCTACGCGATCGCATAGTGTCTCCCGCGATCGCATAGTGTTAAGTCTGAGAGGTCCTATATTATCCTCTATGCGATCGCATAGTGCTATTCGCGATCGCGATGCCCAGCCCGTTTCTTCTCTGCGATCGCAGTGCTGTGTTCGCGATTGCAATGACCATTTTCCCCTTACTCTATGCGATCGCATTACATTCTTCGCGATCGCATAGAGCATTTTCGCCCAGTTAAATTTTTAAAACTTCAGAAACAGTAGCATACGGGATTCACCAAATATTTCACAAAACCTTTCTTCTCCAAGCTCTTAGGCGACCATTGAAGCGATTCTTCATCAAAACCTCTTGGGTTAGTAATTCTTAGCTTATTTTCTTCCATTTTCATCAACATCTATTGAAATTCTAAGCTTAAAACATGTGATTTAAGGTAGAAAATTGGGTATTTGGGTAGAGTTAGGGCTTTTTGAGTTTTTCTTGATTTAGACCTCGTTTTGGGGTCGAATTTGAAAACAAATTATATATTTGGGCTCGGGGTGAATGGGAGATTTGATTTTGGTTCGAACCTCGTGTTTTGACCAAGCGGGCCCGGGGTCGATTTTTGAGTTTTTGGAAAAAATGATGCAAAAGCTATAATTAGGCATTGGGTTCGTATTGTTTAGCATTTATTGATGTATTGAAGTCATTATTGTATAGATACAATTGATTTGGAGCCGAATTCGAGAGGAAAGGCGGTTATTGAGGATTGAATTGGCCGTGGAAGTTTGAGGTAAGTGTTTGGTCTAACCTTAGCTTGAGGGATTAGGAGTTGAGTCCTATTTTCTATGTGATAATTGTTGAGTACGACGTATAGGCATGGTGACGAGTATCTATAAGTTGGTGTCAAGTATGATCGTGAGTCTTATATTGTGATTTTCATTGTTTCGTCGTATTCTTCATGCTTTGGTGATGATTCCTAGTTGTTGTGAAAAGTTTGTGGGAGGAATTGAGACCTTTGAACATTTTGGAGCATTGGCTCGAGTTATATTAGGAATTGTGAAAGTATATGAGATGATTGAACCCTTTGGAGCATTGGCTCAAGTGGTAAAGTGAGTTATGAAGTACAAGTGAAAGATAGAGAAAGAGTTATTGAAATGTTCCCTTGCCGGGATTGAATTATTTAATCGTTGTTCCCTTGCCGGGATTTGATTATTTACTTGTTGCTCCCTTGTCGGGATTTAACTGTTAAATCGTTGTACCCTTGCGGTATTCCTATATGTTCTTGTTTATTTCCCTTTCCCTTGTTTGTGATTGTTGTTTGGGTGAGGAAGACTGTTAAAGCACGAAGGGTGATGCTGTGCACGTTTTCATTATATTATTGCTTGGTAAGGACGAAAGTAAAAGCACGAAGGATCATGCCATGCACTTGTCTTTGATTTTCCTGATTTTTTTGCTGATAATTGAGTTATGTTGTCCTTTACTTGTATTTACTGATTTTCATGTTGTTATCGGTTCCAGTGCATTAATTGCCTTATTCCACTATTACTGTGATTCTTTATGTTGGCATTTTCCTTTATTGTGTTACTTGTTATTATTGGCTCGAGGTATCCTTGCGCAACATTATGCCTTGAATTTATGCTATAATTGCTACATGTTTATGTGACTTAATTGCTACTTGACATTTAGCATACTAAATATTAAATTGCCTATTTGCTCCTTCAAGTCCATAATTAATTGCTGGTTGTCATTACTTGTTTTCCTCAATGAGTCATAATTATTGTGTAATTGTTGTCTTATGAATTCGTATTATTTGTTGCGTTTGTTGGAGTAAATTTCATTTGGAAGAAACTGTTGATTTAATGAAATGGGAGCGGGTGGTACACCTACCACGAGATTTAATGAAATAGGAGCGGGTGGTACGCCTACCACGAGATTTAATGAAATGGGAGCGGGTGGTACGCTAACCACGAGATTTAAGGAAATGGGAGCGGGTGGTACGCCTATCACGAGATTTAATAAAATGGGAGCGGGTGGTACGCCTACCACGAGATAATGAAATGGGATCGGGTTGCACGCCTGCAACAAGAGGTGAAAAGAAAGTGAAATCTGCCTTTGTTTTCCTTATTCTTGCTAGTAGTTGGATTTTGGTTCCTATATGGTTCTCTTGATATTCTGCTTTACTTGTTATTCCCCGAAGCATGTTCCCCCCTCCCATCCTTACTTGCTTATACCTGCTTTACTTTCCGCTGTACATTATATAACTGCACAGGTTTATTTGGTAGTCTGGTCCTAGCCTCGTCACTACTTCGCCGGGGTTAGGCTAGGCACTTATCAGCACATGGAGTCGGTTGTGCTGATACTACACTATGTGCTCTTTTGCACAGATCCAGGTCCCGGACAGCAGTAGTAGCTCGGGAGCCAGCCTTCAGTCCATCGAGACTCCGAGGTAGCCTTGCACGCGTCCGCAGGCCCGACGTCTCCTCTATCTTATATTTTATTCTGTTATCTCATGTTTTCGAGAAAACAGTGTTATATTTCTTTCAAACGATTGTATTTAGTACTCTTAGTAGTCCGTGGATGATGTGACACCAGTTCTTGGGTAGAGGCACATGTTGAATTCCGCATTATTTTTCAGCTTATTTAATTAAGTCTTCCGCTTTAATTTCATATTCCGCTATCATTTAAATATTTAACGCTTGTTGTTATGATTGATAAAAGGATTTAAAATAAAGTAGGTAGGAGTTTATGATAATTGGCTTGCCTAGCTCACATTAGTAGGCGCCATCACAACTCCCGAGGGTGGGAAATTCGGGTCGTGATAAAAAATAAGCCAAAAGTCAAAAGTTAGATATTATCAATGTATGATTTTTGACTTTTAGCTTATAAATTACTTTTTAAAATCCAATCCAAACACCCTATCTAGAAGAAAAAAAAGCTCCTTTTTTTGGATTTTAAGTTGTATAATCATCCAAAGAATAGTACCGAACGGCATATAAATAAGCCTCCTTGAAATGCAAGATTTATGATTTTGAAAATAAGACATGCATATACCTGCAAAACACACACACACATACCCTCTTTCTCATATTATGTGTCTTGTTTCTCTTTTATACACCCCTTAAAAGGAATTAGACTATTCTACTCTTATTTATGTTTTAAGATAAAATCTCTTCTCATTGAATATTTGTTCTATTTATGTGTTATCTGCATCTTCAAGAACAATTATTACTAAGGGTATAAAAGGAAAAAAACTACTAATTTTGTCTTGAACTTCTTAAATAAAAAATAATTTGAGACGACTATTTTTAATAACCACGATTTTTAATACGAGACGGAAGGAGTATATCTTACATACCTTGTTTGCTCTATTGTAATCAAATCCGGGGATATTAATAGGAATGCCGAGAAAACCACGAATAAGGAAAGTATTCTCCTTAAAAACAACGTCAAGCAAATCCTGAGCAACCTCATCACCTATAAGAATTCTCATAAGCACCTCAAATGTAGTTTTTTTCATCTCAGCGAGAAACTCAATGGGTTTTTCCGTTGAAGCCCATTTCTCAAATGAATTTTTCACAGTTTCGTTTATATCCAATTGGAAAAACAATGATCCGCCATGACTCTGTATAAGATTACTTCTCATTCGACGCTTTTTATCTTCTTGATTTGATGGAGGTTCTTGTCCCAGCACATTTAAGCTTGTTTTAGGCATATGTCTCTCAAAATTTTCGTCATCTAACAAGATTTTCCTACATATTTCTGGTTTTATGACGATGATGCTTGGCTTTCCTAATATTAATCCCTTGTACATTCCTCCTCGCCCGTACCTTAATTTGTTTAAGGAATGTTTACATTAGTAATAATGGAAATTCAAAAAAATGAGAACAAAAATACTTAGGGCCCGTTTGGCCATGAAACTTTTTTCACTTTTTTTCGGATTGTTTTTACCTTTTTTTTTAAAAATTATTGGCCATAAAATTTTCATTTTACACTTGAAGATGAATTTTGAAACTTTTCGAAACTTTGAAAAACTCCAAAAAACTATTTTTCGAATTTTTCACTTCAGATCACTCACAAAATTCAAAAACAACCCAAAAATGTATTCATGTCCAAACACAACTCTAATTTTCAAATACCATTTTCACTTGGAAAAAAAATCACTTTTTTGACAAAATTTTACAATTCTTATGCATTTTCTTCTTTTCGAAATCACCGTTTGGCCATAAAATTATCATTTTTCATTTGAAGATGAATTTGTGAATTTTTTGAAAATTTAAAAAACTCCATTTCAAAATTTTCACTTCACATCACTTACAAAATTAAAAACAACCCAAAAATATATTCATGTCCAAACACGATTCTAATTTTCAAATACTATTTTCACTTTAAAAAAATTTATTTTTTTGGAAATTTTACAATTCTTATGCCCAAACACCCACTTATTGAATAGCAAATATATACTAACCTAGTAACGAAGTAAGAAATAAATGAGTCCGGATCGCCACCTTTAAAACATTTGCAGAAAATAGGCGGGTGGCAGGGTGGGGGTTAAGGTAAGGGTCAGGGGGTGGGACGGGGCCCATAGGGGGTAGGGGAGCAAGGGTGCATATAGGTTGAGAATTGGATCGTGGAATATAGGGACATTGACGGGTAAGTCTATAGAGCTGGCGAAGATTCTCCAGAAAAGGAAGGTTAGTATAGCTTGTGTTCAGGAGACTAGGTGGGTAGGATCGAAGGCGAGGAATGTTGATGGGTACAAGTTGTGGTACTCTGGAGGCGTGAAGGGCAAGAACGGAGTGGGTATTTTGGTGGATAAGGATCTTAGAGAGTTAGTGGTAGAGGTTAGGCGGGTGAGTGACAGATTGATGGCGATTAAGTTAGTAGTTGGAGGAAACACTCTGAATGTCATTAGCGCTTACAAGCGGGCTTGGACGAGGAGGTTAAAAGGTACTTTTGGGAGGCGTTGGATGAGGTGGTGCGGGGTATTCCACCTACGGAGAAGTAATTTATAGGAGGGGATTTCAATGGGCATATTGGGTCGTCTGCTGATGGCTATGGTGAGGTGCACGGTGGCTTCGGCTTTGGGGATAGGAACAGAGGAGGTGCGTCACTGTTGGATTTCGCTAGAACTTTTGAGTTGGTGATCGTGAATTCTACTTATTCGAAAAATGAGGAGCATATGATTACTTTTCGGAGTATGGTGGCTAAGACTCAAATTGATTATCTTCTCATCAGGAGGTGTGATAAGGGGTTGAGCGAGGATTGTAAGGTGATCCCGAGTGAGAACTTCGCGACACACTCGCGACACAGCATAGGCTCCTGGTGATGGACGTCGGTATCGTGATAAAGAGGAAGAAGAGGTTTGTCCGGGGGCAATCGAGGAACAGGTGGGGAGTCTTAACTAAGAAAAATGCACATGAGTTGGAGGGAAGGTTGGCGGCTATGGGAGCCTGGAAGAGTGGTGGGGATGCTAGCGTTATGTGGACGGCGACAGCAGACTGTATAAGGGAGGCAGCGAGAGAGGTGTTAGGGGTCTCGAAGGGGTACTCAGGCGGGCACCGAGGCGACTGGTGGTGGAACAACGTGGTCCAGAGTAAAGTGCAAGCAAAGAAAGCGGCTTACCTTAAGTTATTGGAGAGCACTGACGAGGAGCAGAAGAGAGCAAACAGAGAAAGGTATAAGGAAGTTAGGAGGGAAGCGAAGCTAGCAGTCACGGAGGTTAAGACTGCTGCGTTTGGGCGGTTGTATGAGGAACTGGGGGTAAAGGTGGGGACAAGAAGTTATTTCGGCTGGCTAAAGCGAGAGAGAGAAAGGATCGTGATCTGGATCAAGTGACGTGCATAAAAGACGAGGAAGGTCGGGTATTGATGGAAGAGGCTCAGATTAAGTAGAGGTGGCAGTCGTACTTTCATAGACTTCTGAATGAAGAGGGGGACAGAAACATCGTGTTAGGGGAGTTGGGGCACTCCGAGAGTCACCAAGACTTCAGGTGATGTAGGCGTATTAAGGTGGAGGAGGTCGTGGGAGCAATGCGTAAGATGATCAGTCGGGGCAAAGCGATCGGACCAGACGAGATTCTAGTTGAATTTTGGAGGTATGTGGGTAAAGCAAGCTTGGAGTGGCTGACTAACCTGTTTAATGTTATTTTCAAGACAAAGAGGATGCCAGATGAGTGGAGGTGGGGTACGATGATTTCGTTGTACAAAAACAAAGGGAACATCCAGAATTGTAACAACTATAGGGGTATAAAGTTACTAAGTCATACCATAAAAGTTTGGGAGAGGGTGGTGGAAGGGAGGGTGAGGAGGGCGGTGTCTATATCAGAAAACCAGTTCGGGTTCATGCCTGGTCGCTCTACTACAGAAGCTATCCATCTTATCAAAAGGTTGGTGGAACAGTACAGAGATAGGAAGAGGGATCTGCACATGGTGTTCATTGATCTAGAGAAGGCGTATGACAAGGTCCCTAGGGACGTTCTTTTGAGATGCCTAGAGGTGAAGGGTGTGCCGGTAGCTTATATTAGGGCGATAAAGGATTTATATGATGGAGATAAGACTCAGGTTAGGACTATAGGAGGTGATTCGGAGCCCTTTCTAGTAGTTATGGGGTTACACCAAGGATCTGCGCTCAGCCCATTCTTATTTGCCCTAGTAGTAGACGCATTCACACACCATATTCAAGGGGAGGTGCTATGGTGTATGTTGTTTGCTGATGATATAGTTCTGATTGATGAGACGAGAGGCAGTGTTAATGAAAGACTGGAGGTATGGAGGCAGGTCCTGGAGTCTAAAGGTTTCAAGTTGAGTAGGACCAAGACGAAATATTTGGAGTGCAAATTCGGCGATGTGTCGGGGGAAGCGGACGAGGAGGTAAGGCTTGACTCGCAAGTCATCCCTAAGAGAGAGAGTTTCAAGTACCTAAGGTCTATTATCCAAGGAGATGGGAAGATCGACGAGGATGTCACGCACCGTATCGGGGTGGGATGGATGAAATAGAGGTTAGCATCTGGAGTCCTGTGTGACAAGAATGTTCCACTGAAACTTAAAGGTAAGTTCTATAGAGCGGTGATTAGACCGGGCATGCTGTATGGGGCAGAGTGTTGGCCAGTCAAGAATTCTCATATTCAGAAGATGAAAGTAGCCGAAATAAGGATGTTGAGATGGATGTGCGGGCACACTAGGCTGGATAAGATTAGGAATGAAGATATTCGGAAGAAGGTGGGCGTGGCTCCCATGGAGGACAAGATGCGGGAAGCGAGACTTAGATGGTTCGGGCATGTGCGGAGGAGGAGCCCAGATGCCTCGGTTAGGAGGTGTGAACGGTTGGCTTTGACAGGAACAAGGAGAGGTAGAGTGCGGCCTAAGAAATATTGGGGCGAGGTGATAAGGCAAGACATGGCGCAACTTCAGATTTTCGAGGACATGGCCCTGGATAGGGAGATGTGGAGGTCGAGCATTAAGGTTGTAGGTTAGGGGGTCGTTGAGCGTTTTTTTCTTCGTTGTTCTGGCTAGTCTGATAGTGTTTTATATAGGACTGTTAGCGGTTATTGTTCCATCACGCTTTCTATTTTTTGTTTATTATTATTATTATTAATTTTTTTACTTTTATTTTATATTTTTTTCGATTTTGTTTATTGTCATAGTTATTGTCCTTCCCACTTATTTGTTGTCACTTACGGTGCTGATCTTATTTGTATGTTTTCTGCTGTTGTTACAGATCTTTCGTTTTTGAGCCGAGGGTCTTCCGGAAACAGTCTCTCTACCCTCATGGGTAGGGGTAAGGTCTGCGTACACTCCACCCTCCCCAGACCCCACTAGTGAAATTATTACTGGGTTGTTGTTGTTGTTGTTGTAAGCATGTCCCCAAAGAATGGCCAGCCCATGTCACCCGGATTTTACGAGTTAATGCTGGATTGATTTTATGTGTATATGTGTTGTCGTATCTAGGTATTTATTTCTATAAGACCTCGCAAGAGATATTTTGTTAAAATAGATTCATCTTTATTGTCACACCTCCTTTTCACACACCACGAAGGTAGTATAAGGGAGTTTTTCCAATTTAAGTGACATTATTCGAAATGTGATTATTTATTCAATTTTATTCAGAGTTGCCACTTGGGATAGATTATTTGGTGTCCCAAGTCACCGATTTATTTCAAATCCCAAATCGAGGAAGATTTCGACTTTCCTTGTGAAGTCTGCGAACCAGAAATTCTGACTAAGGAATTCTGTTAACCCGGGGGAAGGTGTTAGGCACCCACGGATTCCGTGGTTCTAGCACGGTCGCTTAAACTATTATAATTGGCCTATTATCTGATTTTAATACATGTTCGAACCTATGTGCATTTTAGCTTATTTACCGCTTTTATTTAATTTTAAGGAATATTGCAACGTTATTAAAACACGTCTTGAACCACGTCACATAAATGCACCCATGGTTTTTGACATGTTTTAACCTCGTTGAAATTTGGATTTGGGTCACATAAATGTGCACCCGAGTTTAGGAAAGTAGATTATTAAAATACGCGCCTAAAGCAACTAACGCGTTGTTATCTTTGCGAGGGCCATAGAAATTCGCTAAATGATACGCCTCAAATTATTTTAAAGGATTGTACTTAACTAAAGCAAACTACGGAGGAGGTTCATGAGTTGTTCGTTGAGCCCAGTTGGTATTCTCTTCAAATGTTGATAGAATGTTAAAAAGCATTAGGGTTCTCTACAATTTAAGATAGTCACTACATTGACTCTTTTTAATCATCACAATTTAAGCTACTCATATTTTCCCACGACAAATGCTTCATTCATAAACCCAATTATTACCCCAAGTATTCATATTTGACAAAGCATCTAAAATAAACTCACTGTAACATTGTAGTATTCCTACGTGTTTTAAAAAAGTATTTGTCTCATTCAGATGCAAACAATAAAAAAAAACATA